TTTTTTTTTTTTTACCACCGAGTCTTTTTTTTATCACTGTTTTCTGAAACATTTTATTATTATTATCATTATTTTTATTTATTTATTTTTTTATTATTTTACCTCCTGGCCTCTTTGTTTTGTTCACTGTTTTCTGAATTAACTATTTTCTATTTTTTATTTTATTTCTAGACCTCTCAACTGCCAACTCTGTTTTTGACATAATCAAATAAAACATCATACATATTCATAGCCATGTGCATATTACACTGTTTAATGAATGACATCTATTTAGACAGATTGTAGTTGTGTTCCTGACAGCTCTGGCACAGATATGATGAGGATTTTCATCATGAGCCCTGTTTACGCAATGGCCACAAAGCCCACTGGGCAGTCATCTCAGGTGAGACTAAACAATTAACAAACGCAATAAGTTGAAAGCTATGTTACAAAGTTATATGACGAAACAATTCTTCAGTCTAATAATATCTGTCTTTATCCAGGTATATTTTTTTTTTTTTAAAATTTTTTTTTTTTTTTTTTTTTTTTTTTTTTTTTTTTTTTTACCACCGAGTCTTTTTTTTTATCACTGTTTTCTGAAACATTTTATTATTATTATCATAATTTTTTTATTTTATTTATTTTTTATTATTATTTTACCTCCTGGCCTCTTTGTTTTGTTCACTGTTTTCTGAATTAACTATTTTATATTTTTTTATTTTATTTCTAGACCTCTCAACTGCCAACTCTGTTTTTGACATAATCAAATAAAACATCATACATATTCATAGCCATGTGCATATTACACTGTTTAATGAATGACATTTATTTAGACAGATTGTAGTTGTGTTCCTGACAGCTCTGGCACAGATATGATGAGGATTTTAATCATGAGCCCTGTTTACGCAATGGCCACAAAGCCCACTGGGCAGTCATCTCAGGTGAGACTAAACAATTAACAAACGCAATAAGTTGAAAGCTATGTTACGAAGTTATATGACGAAACAATTCTTCAGTCTAATAATATCTGTCTTTATCCAGGTATATTATTAGGTTTAAGACGGGGGTGCGTGGACAGCGAACACTTCCCCCCTGACGTCACACTTCCCTGGCTGCATCTCTCTCGGAATGAGGCTTCTGTCTCTTGGCCGACCGATGACATTAAAGAGGTGTTTGTTCTGGCTAAGCAGGGGAAGAGTTTACGTTACCAGCTGTGGAAGTTTGAGCTGGTAACACAGAGCAACTGTCAACTCAAGGAGATGGACCCTCAGAGAGCCAGCGATGGGACGCGTTACGTGCTTCCTCCTGGCGGCATACAGGATGGTCTGGCAGGACAAGCACTGCTGCTCCACACCAACACACAGATGAGCTGATCAAGAACAGCCAAGACTCTTCTACAGGAGCTGGTTGCACACCTGTATTTTCAGTCCTCATCCACTAGGCGTCGTTATAGTTCGAGTGTTTCTAAATGTTCTGTAAACCTAAGAGACTGATGCAGAATAAGGTAATTATACTGCATAGGATATTAGGATTTCACAATGAAGAATGGTTACAGAGATAGATTCTTATTTGTAGTTTGGTTTGAAATCTATTTCACAAGCTTTTGAAACAAAAGTGGTTTTAAAGAATAAACTGCTAGATTTTCTCATTGTGTGGTTCAAATCCTTCTGTTTTGTAATTGTGGTGTCTGCTAGGTCTCAAGTTTGTGCAACAATTTAAATGGTTTTGACTTGTTGTATTTAACAGCATTTAGACAGTTAACTGTTTTGTTGATACGAGGACCAGTATGAGGTAATCCTCTTGACTAAGCTGAACATTCGGTTCGGTTCAGGACAAACAAACTGAACGGAGGATGTAAGTCAGATGTCATTTACTGATGACCCTCAGTAATAGAACAAAGTGTTCAGCTGTTCTGATGTCATCCAGCGGTTTCAGAACCTTTCTGTTGTGCAACTTGAGGAAGAGCTTCTCTCTGCACTGGAAATAATGACAGAGGAAAACATCACTTGGCAGGAATAGAACATTAACCGTAATAACATGAGCAGTATCCTTGTAATCCAAAACTGGCTCCTCACTCATGTTTTATTCCATATAATGAATTTATTTATTGTGGATTTTTTAAATGTTTTTGAAAGAGGTGTCTTATGCTCACCAAGGCTGCATTTATTTTATTTTAAAAAATACAGTAATATTGTGAAGTATTACAGGTTAATGTGACTAGTACTTTCTTTATTAATATCTTTTAAAATGCTTTTTTTTTTTCTTGTGACGTCAAAGCTGAATTGTCAGCAGCCTTTACTCCAGGGCTGCGTTCAGCCCCGACAAAACGGTGCAAAACGTTTTTTAAACGGAAACGGTGGTGCGTTGAATACACTGTTCTGATGACGCCAGAGTTGCAACCAGGGCAGCTGAGAAGGCCATTCTTTGTGTTCTTTTTGAAGAATTTTCAGAGCCTGATTAAATCGGTATAAATACATGTTTAATACTGCAAAATATGCTCGATGTTACAGTCACTGCCCTTGCCGTCCTGAATAAAAGAGAACATCCCAATCAAGTGAAGGGATTTGTGGAAACTGTGGTTCCTAATTATTGTGATCCAACATTTGCCTCGCATTACAGGATGAAAAGACAAACATTTCAGGTGAAGGATACTCCACTTCTTACCTCCGCACTATATGGCCTTATTATTTTTATTGTGAGTATTAGGCTTATCATTATTGCTGATCACTGTTGTTGTGCTATGTTATTGTAATATTTACCATTATATAATCAGAGGCATATAGAAAAGTTTATGAAAGTGTCACTCCATAATACAATCGCAAAATATATAAATATGTATAGTATTTTGATGTTACATTAATCAGTATTTAGCACACCTTCCTAAGGAAAGGATATGGACCAGAAGACATTGCAATTACTAAATGATATTTAGACAGACTTAAAGAAGTTCCAGATCTATACGTGTGCTCTTATTATTTCAGTTATTTTGCCTTTAATGTAAATAAACATGCAAACAATATACTTGCTCTTGTGAATTTATTTTGATGTTAATTACATTGTGCCAGCTGTCTCTTTAATACCGCGTGGTTTATATACATGCTGCTGACATTTTTGACACACCCACCAAACAAGAGAAAACGCATCTCAAACCCCGTTGCACACCGTTTCCAGGAAACATGTCCTTCAAACCGGAAACCGTAGCAAAACGTTGCGCACCGGTTTGAGCTTGAACTTGCCCCAGGCTTCGATGTCACATGATCCTTCGGAAATAATTTTAATGTGCTGAGTTGGTTCTCAAAAACGTTATTACTTTCAGTGCTTGTGCTGCTTAACATTTTTGTGGAAGTGATTGTCATTTTAATTTCACTTTAATGTAAATTAATTTCTTTTAAAAACGAACTGAACCCAATCAGTATGGTAGTGTGTTGATGATTATTTCTTTTAGTAATGGTGAATCAGGAAGTGAACAGGAGAAACACAGTATGTTATACAATAATAGTTCCAGTTTATTGTATTATATTATTGGCTTTCAAGACAAGGTGATGTAAGTACAGGCGCTCAGGATGTCCCTATTGCAATTACACTGTTGTCTCAAACTATTAAATAGACAGAGACAACTCAAAAAGGCATCACACCGTCCAGTTCTCTTTCCAATATAAAACATGTCATCTAAAACATGCAGTATGGTAGCTAGAAACCAATTTCAACAATTTGAATGACTCACAATACTTTGTATAATTTGTAAACAATGCAGTGGATCTCCAAAAGAATGTGTGAGACATTTAGTTCACTGTTTCCAGAGTCAGATGGGGAAATACTGACGGTTGGAATGTTGTGTTGGAACGTTGACAGACACACCAACAGACAGTGTGCAGGTCCGCTCAAGACAGAAAATACAATCTCTAAAGCTGTAAGATACAAAAAAAACACACACAGTGGTAGAACCATGTTTTGTAAACTAACGTCAACAAAAAGTATCCAGGTGAGGTAATCACTTTAATAAAATGGTTGTGATATTGTGCAAGAGGATATTATCTTTTCATGGCTATATCTGAAATTGAGTATTTCAGAGTTACAACCTCAAGCAAACATGAAGTGACGATGGGAAAATGTTTTGTTCGTCTTTTTTTAAAGCTGACCACAGCACCTAATTTGAGAACTACTGCGTATCAGCAGTGAGATGACATCAGTGGCCCTAACACTTACAATCTGCTCATGCACACCAAAATACATTTTCCACCACAGTTGAGAGATTAACCATCAGATTTGTTCTTCATGCAAATAAGCTATGATCACTATGAAGCGGAACTCCACAGTGCTTGCTATGGTGTGGAAAGAGCTGAGGTTGGAGGTCATTCTGCTGCGTGTACCAACACAAAAGCTCACAAAACTCACCAAAAAAAATCAGTTTAATAGTCGTTGGTCCACATAAAGATGGATAACCTCTCAAACTTAATCTAAATTTGCATGCATCTGGCTAACCTAGAAACCAAACCATATGGCGAACACTGCAAACAGGCCAGTCACTGATTGGTTACCTTAAAAACAAATGAACTAAGTGTGAACAAGCTGTTCCAGCAACAAGTGTATATGTCTATCAATTATACCTGTTAGCTTGTGTGTCTATGTAACCAAGGCTAGTTTTAAGAAGCACTGCATCTATTTCTCATCAATAAAATACAATCTTGGTAGGGTTTAACTATCCTCATTGTCTTGGGCAGTTAGTTAAGTTGACTCTACTACCTTATTTCTGACAAACGCCAATCCGTTTTGGAAGAGAGAGTCATGGAAATATCATACACCGCATGTGTCATCAAGATTAGACGACCACAGGAAATAAAAAAGCGTCAGTCAACCTGTAGTTTGGCACTTAGACCACCTTTCAGAAATAAATGAGGTATAGACTACAGAAATAAAACAAAATTAATTAAAAAACCTTAATTAAATTAGCACTATTTACATAACCATGGAAACCCAAAGAAAAATTTACAAGGAAAACGAAACAAAAAGCACATTCCAGTTTGATAGTGTTATCATTTTTGTAGGTAACCCCCCCCCAAAAAAAACAATTGAACGTAGCATAAATTCTTAAAAGAATAATCACGGCTGTGCGCCCTTAAAATTATAGTTTCTTCTCATCTGTTGCTCCTCTAGTCTGTTTGGGTTCAGTATCTGTGTCTTTTGACTGTGGTGGAGCTTCTGTGGATCTGCAGGACCACACGTGCAAAAAAAAGAATGAAGGACGTGAGCTTGTCGACAAAATGTGCTCGAGTTTTTCCACTCATGTTTTGTTCGCTTTTTATCTCTCCGACAGCACAAGAGCACACTCATCTCAGGACTAATATCCTGTTGTGCGCCTCCCTCCATCAACGTGTCCCTACACGTGATGCTTCGGGCTCAGGCACATTCTGTGCATCCATCAGGGTGAGGTCGCGTCCTGCAGCATGTCTCCAAAGATCTGAATGAGGTTGTCCAGACCCCACAGGTAGCCGTCCTCCCGGTTTCCCTCGGCCCAGGGCGTGCGGTGGTCCAGGGTTTGGGGTGGTGGCAGTGGGACGGTTTTACCAAAGTCAATCATCCATACTCGGGCCAGGCCTGAAGCATCATGCACGAATAGCAAAGAACTCCCAACCACCTGATGAGAAACAGAACAGTTTACAGGGAAAAGTTTTAAGCTTATGAAACATGACTACTTGTGTTCAAGAGATCAAATTAATTTGAAATATTTCACAACACGGAAAGAACAAATTCCTCACCTCATGTGTCCTGAAGAACTCTGACGTCTCTAGAGCGCTGCACAACTCCTCCAGCCTCTGTAGATAATTCCTCTGAAGGAGAAAAAAAAGTTCAAGTCAACTGTAATTAGCCATTGCCAGTTCTTGGATCCTGATTGGTTAATACAGCATCCCAGTGCTGCCAAAATGCATAATATAGCACTATTGCAGAAACACCTGGAAGTTCTGTATAAAAATACTGTAAATTATAGCCAGAAACATATGTATGTACATTACAATATAGGTCTAGAAATTATGGCAAATTAATTTGCTTCCCCCCATAAAAATAAATAAATGAAGGTATACAATTATTTACTATATGTGACCCTGGCTGTGAAAACTCAGCTAAAGTAATTTTTTGGGTGATTTACTTTCTACATAAAATCATCCTTCATAAGGTAAAGACCATTCTGTGAAAATGTAACCTTGATATCTTTAATATTGACTGATTAAGACCATGTCAAAGATTTAAATCATAGTGAAATTAATGGTTGAAATCAAACTTTGAGACTTGTTATCTCATAATTAGATTTTGAGACTTTAGCCTGGATTTCACAGAGAGGGTCACATATTTGTCCAGTGAAAGTAATGAATTCGCTTAATAAAATAATATTTTAATGAAAATTGTTGTCCTTCTCTTTTGTGCTTTTTTTAATATAGTAACACCTGTCAGCTATAGCTACAGTAATAATGTAGCAGGGCCTCTCATTTATTTCTTAATTTGACAAAGTCACTGAAGGTCAGAACAGCACTTCAGAGAAATCAACATTATTTGTTTTTCACAAGTATGATTATCAAATAAAACAGGAAAGTCACTGGCTAAAGTTAATGAAATAAAAGCGCCAGTGCAGTGTTAAAACAGTCCATTGCCTTTGAAGCAACGTACCAGTAACTGTGTGTTTCCATCCACAAAGTCACTCAAGGCCTCCATCACCTGCTCCTTATGTTTGGTTTTTTTAAAGCTGGTGTTGCATGTGCCATCTGCTTTCTAAAAAGAAACACAAAGAGTGTGAACAGAGTTGAGTTCATGTTAATGCTTCTTGTTTTTAATAGTAACAAAAAAGTACAAATTTGTAAATGTCATATCTATAAACAGCAAACATGCATTCAGGAAAGTAGCTATGATGTACATTTACTTTAAATCACCATTTATACCTATATCACAGATAACATCTCATTGGTTTTACTAATCACATCTATAAATAGATTTTGTTTTATTAATGATGTTATCTGTATCTCTTAAAATACTAATATATATATATATATATATATATATATATATATATATATATATATACACACACACACCCA